TTTTATTACAACTTAAACAAATTTATTTTTAATTATTTTATAATGTATTTAATATTTACATCAACATTTATCGAATTTATACGGACATTCAATATTGTATTGTATAATATTTATGTAATATATATATAATATATATATAATATATAATTATTAAATATATTATGTGTAATATACTAAATTGTTTATTATTTTTAGTATGGAAGTTCCAGTCCATTGTGTGGCAGTCCACAAAGCCCATCCTCTCCTAGTAATTCTTCAGTCAGTAGTACTAATCAACATCAAAACTATCAAACGCAAAAAGATTTTTATGCAAATCTGACGCAAACCAACAATCTCCAACACCATTTTGAAAATTTCTCTATGGTGAGCCTATGAATCAAGATGTTTTATACAGTATTTTTATAGTAATAACAAATCAAAAAAAAATTATTTTAAATTTTTATTTGAATATAAATCAAATAAATTATCTAAATTATAAAACAACTTTACTAGAATTTAGATTTATTAATCAGTATGATTAATTATAATTTATTTTGGTTTATGCTTATATTAAAAAGGATATGATGGTAAGTAAAACAATCATTGTAGTTCCTACTCTAATGCTTAATAACACTTAACATATGTCACAAAAATGATTGTTACCTGTTGTCATATTTTTTTTGTTATTATAAATATAAAATAGGTAATAATTCTGGACTTGATTTTTAATTTTAATTGGTGTTCAAATATTGTGTTTGTTCTGTTCTATTTTTTATATTGAATTTTTAATATAATTTAATACTTATTAATTCTGTTAAGTCCAGTCATTAATTATATATTTAAATACTTTAAAATTATCAATTTTGATTACCTATAATGTTTATAAATTCCCCCCCCCCCCAAAAAAAAAGAAGGAARTTACTGAATTTAAAATATATTTGTTGTAATTTTGTTAACGATTTAAAATTTTAGAAAAAAATAGTATAATGGGTTCAAAAGTTATTAATGGCAATTGGTGGTGAACATAATATTAAGTTAAGGAGTATCACTCACTAATTTAATAATTTTAAAATTCTCATAACTTGCTTCGATATTAAAATATCAAAAACACCTATTGAGGCGCTCTAGATAATATTCTTATCTTTAAGTCTCACATTTGGTTAATTTACTCTATTATTTATAAGATCAGTGCAAAACGGATTCTTCTTAACATAAATTTTCCCTATTATGCATTAATAAGATGGAAACAACACATCTAGGTGTTTTTATATAACAATAATGAAATAAATGCACAACATAAAACTTATGCTAAAATACCACTAGACCTTTGCTTTACTTGAAATATCAAACAGTTAATTATATTTTGGTTCCGCTATCATAAAGCTGGACTGGAATCAGGTGATGCAATCGCTAAAAGATTCAAATCCATCAGCTTGGATAACTGCCCAAATCCAGGTAAAATGGTCAAAAATAGATTGTAAAATGTGTACCTTATATAGTTATATGGTACACATTATATTTTCTAGTTGCTTATCAATAACAAAAAATTAATTAAAAAAAATAAGGGTTGTTTTAGTAGGTACCTTGCATATCTATTGTGTTTACATAATATAAATACTAATGTTGATATTAGATAACTGCATGTTTATTGGTAATTTTCTAAACAATTTTCTTGATATTAAAATCCTTTTTTTAAAAACTAACTAAACTTAATTTTTTTATTTATTTGTGTTTTTAATTAGCTCGATAGTCCTGTATCTACAGGATTGGAATACATAGGCTCTCCCACTAACACATACTTGCAACAGGTAAATATGTACATGCATTCATACATTTATATATTCTACTTGTTACTGGCCTAGACACTTATATATTGTTTTTTAGAATGAGGAATATGTGAATTCAGAAATGACAGCTGATTTGGGATATTTTAGTACTTCACCATCACAGTCTCTCCAATTTCCCAACCAAACCCATACAACACCTAATACTCCTTCCAGTATTCCTGACATTATACTTACAGGTAATAGTTTGTATTATTAATACTATTTTGTTAGATTTACATATTTGGTGCAGTTTATCAGACAGATAACTTCAATTATTTGTTAGATATGCTAAACATATGTTTTGTTTGTATTTGGTTATCTTTATGTTAATTAAGTAAAGTTTGCATTTGTAATAAAAATATCTGTCGTGAAATAAAATAGTTAGCAAAACTCCTGGCTAAAAGTAAAATGTTAAAATGATTTTTTAAAGCTTACTTATCGAATAATAACAAAAAATATAATGTAAAGTAATCTAGAAAAATTTCATAAATGTACTCTGCAAATTCATTTCAATGTTAATTTTATTTAAAAAATAGTACTTGCTAAATTAATTTGAAAACTAAAATACTTCACATAACATTTACCTCAGTATTCTTGATTAATACATTTTGTTTATGTCTTATGTAGATTTTTCTAATGGAGATCAATTGGATAACCAAAATAATTTTGTGAAAGAATTAAATTCCACAAACGCRTTTGATGCTGACTTCTTCACCAATGAAGAAAGCATTAGACAGGGTCTTGTTGATCAGATTGACCTAGATCACTTGGAACATTTACAAATGTTAGCTGAACCAATCAATGATGAATCAACTAACAATGATCATAATGGTCACTTTCAAATTTAACTAATTATATTGAGATTTTTATTTTTTTTTTTTTATCTGTGATTAATTGATAAATTGTATTCTTAGAAATGGATAGTAATAGTTATTATTTTTAACACACAAAAGTGCCAGGAAACTTTGATTATAACTAAGCTATTGTAATATTTTCTTGCTATTTTCATTTTTCAGTGCCAAAGACTTAAATTTTTACTTTTTTCTTATTATATTGAATTTGTGTTGTTTTTTTTATGTAGTTACCATCTGATACTCTAATCATTGTTGCATTTTATAACTAATGTTATACCTTTTTCATATTTCTGGAGTTTTTTATAAATATATTATAATGTACTGCACAAATTTAAATATCCTTAGCTGCCGAATCACAATTTTAGAACCTATGGTGCATATATTGTAAGTTTATTATGACAAATATGTATTTTTTATACAGTATATATTTAATACTTAATTATAATATAATTTTAATAAAGTCCCTTTCCCACCCTTAATCATTTTTGTAATATAATATTTTTTTTTTACTAATAAAATATTAAATTCTACAATTAAAAGACAAATGTTCAATTAAATTTAAAGATCTCGTGTTAGATGTATTTTTATTAATATTTTATGTGTACATACGTACTTGCATACATATATTATACAATAGTATATGCACACACACACATGTATATATTCTATGTATGTATGTATGTATGTATGTATGTATGTATGTAAGTATTTAAGTATGTATAATTTAATATGTTTGTATTTGTGTGTGCATGTAATAATTTGTATAAGCCTTTCCATGGCGAATTTGGTATGCATGTTTATAATTGTGTTCGTTTAAATGTGCCTTTTAATTTTTATTTTTAAAATTTTACTCAAAATGAATGTTGAAATTAATGGAAGACAATTATCATTATACATAATTTATCTTATATATGAGAAAAATATTAAATCTAAAATTTTAATTAAAAATATTGGATGTTACAAAATATATTTAGGAAAATTTGTTCTTTATTTAAATTCATACTTTCTTTCAGTTTTTAAACCATGTAAATTTTCCCATGCATATTATGTAATAATATTTTTCTTTCATAAAGACTAAGTTATGTTATTCATAAAKTTTTTTAACTTTGCTTTTATTTCGATTGATTTATTATAGATAAAAAAAAATACTTAGTTATCATTTGTAAATATTTGTACAACATGATTGTACATATGTATTACATTAATTGGTTAGGTAAAGTATTTGGAACTCTGTCATGTTTTTTATAATATTTAGTATTACATATTTTATGTATTAAAACCATAAACAATTTTAATAAAAGTACAGCATTTATTGGTGTTGAAATATTAAATTTATCATTCATATTTTTAAATCATTGCTTGTTAATTATCCAGAATTATTGATATTTCGAACAAGATATAACATTATTACAAAATTACTTGAACAATAAATTATAAATAGATAGTAAATAACTATAGATACAAACATAAAAGAGTTTTAAATCCTTTATTTAGTTATTTAATAAGCTATGTTGAAAAATTCTTATGACTAAGAATTTCTACTTACTTGTTTTACATTTTTTATAATTATTCGAAGAATAAAGTTTAGGTTTAATATAAATTTGGAATTTGTATTGTTCATTAAAAAGGAAACAAACCCAATTTTTAATTTTTTTGATTTTGTTGTTTATATAGTGTTGATGTGCAAAACTGTTTGTTGAACATTTCATGAATGGAATTGTTTTTATTTCTGTACTTACTAAATACTAAATACTAGTCAATAAAAATCAATAAAATAAAAATCCTGTTTTTTATTATTATTATTATTATTATTATTATTGTGAATTATTTATTATGTGAAGTGTTTTTATTTGTTATAATTGTCTTAAAAATATATATATTTATAATGTTAAGAACTTAAAAAAAATATTGTAAAAGAATTTAATTGAATTAGATCAGTGTTTCTCAAATGGTAGTAAGATTTTGGCTCTAGAAGAATCAATAAGACATAAATTTGTGAAGTAAATGTTTAATTTGAAGTATTCTTGTGCAAGAACGTCTTTCCACTTAGTTGGGGTTTTTTCTGAAAATAATAAGACTGTCGACTTTATGGGGTAATTTTAAGAATATTTTATTCCCTTAGATTTTTCTTAATAGCAGATCCTTTTGCGCACACGATATACTTAAATTGATACGATAAAAAAATTGAGAATCACAGGGTTTTCGTTCGGAAACACGCCAAACGTCGTGGTGCCAAAGATCAATTGAGAAACGCTTAGAAACCATTGACAACACTAGTCAAATTTACTTTGTACTTTTTTTTTTTTTTACGTAGGTAATTGATTGATAAATAACGAAAACCTTATTTGTACATTGTCATTTTTTTACTATTAAATTAATTTTTAATTCTTTAAACTTATACATAGTTCATAATACATGATTGGTGGTATTTTTATTATTATTACTATAAATATTATTGTCATCGTCGTCGTCTATCTGTCTATATTATTTTCCATAACCCCCGTTATTGTTGCTGAAACCGTGTCCACCGTGAACGGCGTAGTTGGAGAAGTCGACTTGTGCGGCCGGCTGGCTAGCTGGTGGACATGGAGCCGGAGCTGGCGCCGGTTTCACAACGGGCTCGGGCTGTTCGTTGTATCCGCCATAACTGGCCGGCGGGCCGTACGACGGTACTGGCTTGATGACGACAGGTGCGGGCTGTTCGCTGTATCCGACGTAAGTGACCGACCCGTATGACGGTGCCGGTTTGACGACGGGCGCGGCCTGTTCGCTGTATCCGCTATAACTGGCCGGCGGACCGTACGACGGGTAGCTGGGCGTTTGCGGGACATACGCCGGTGCCGGTTTGACGTAAGTCGCGGCCTGTTCGCTGTATCCGCTGTAACTGGCCGGCGGACCGTACGACGGGTAGCTGGGCGTTTGTGGACCGTAAGCCGGGTAGCTGACCTGTGGTTGGGGCTGGGACGGTAACGGCCGCGGCTGCGGGTGGTGTTGATATTGGCCACCGTAATAGATGTACTGCGTCGTTTGGCCGGACGGTGGTGCAGGTGCGGCGAATCCGTGTTTGAGTAACATTTTTTTCGCGATCAATTGGCTGGCGAATGGCTCCAGGAACGCGTCCGTAGCAATTGGTACTTCGGTGACTGCGATCATGGCTACTGCAACCTGCCGGGTTGATTACAAATTATATAATATGACGTTGAAATAATATTTGAGAAAATTCGAGTCCAAAACAGTAWATTGTATAATATACTGTTAATAGTGTTAAATGACTATACCATAACACACATTAACACACTGTATACTTGAACCAATAATGATGATTGACCTTTAAGTCGGTTCGCATCTTATATTCCATAATACATAGGTTAGGTTTGACCTATAGTCAATACTCATTTGTAATTAATAATGTACCTAATACATGTACAATGTACGTAATAGTCCATTTACAAAACAAGTAATACTTCTAAATCATCCTTTACTGTAAAGGATAAATAGCAGTAGGGTATCTATGTATTTAAGAACAGGGGTGCACCTAATTTTTCGGCCCCCTTATAAAGTTTCAGTTGCTACTTGTTGATTAAGCCGATTAGGGGCTCAAGGGCCCCATTTATAAAACACAGCTTAAGGGCTCTGGTTCCATGCACCTCCTGCACSCCCTCTAAGTATTCCTCTGATAAATAATATAACACTATATAGCTAGTAGGTACGTATTATGTACCGATAAATAATAATAATATAATAATTTGAGATTATTGCCAAAATATGGTCTACGAGAGTGGGRATTATTAGTTTCTGTCAAATTTAGCCATACATAGGTGCGTACTATATTTTATGCATAGGTGTATAGACACTGTCTTCAAAAACTTTGAGCAGGTAATATCTATTCTGTGGTAATATATTTTAGTTTTATACTTAATCATTGCAGTTACCGTGTTAATCAATCTGTTTTGAATATTTTATCTTTTGGTTTTTGGATATTTCATTCAAAACTGTTAGTTGGCTCTTTTTACGTTGTTAGTTTGAAATTCAAACTTTGAATACTTGAAATTTAAGTTTTTAAAAATATATTCGGATACGATCTGGTGGATTCATTATCGGATATTTTTAGAATTTTTTTTTTTGGGTGTAAATATAAAGATTTTTCCACAGTCTACGGATGTATGTGAAATATTTTGATGAATACCTACGATCCATCACTTGTTGATTATCTTGTAAATACATTTCCTCAGAATATAATGTATAAATACCTACTACCCCATCATAAGTTCTCGTAGATCATGATTCATGCCAGTATTCCACCTATAGAGTATCAGACGTCTGCAAGATTCTAATATATAGACACTTAGGGCTAGCATCATTATTATTATTTAATATTATATAAATATGAATTTATTATATAGGAGTAATTATAGGCATAAGTGTCAGTAAAAGAAGTGTCCGAGATACGAGGAATACCTATAGGTACCTACTTTGCTTCCCCAAAATTTTAACTCTATATAATATCTATTTTGTAGACTTTTATATAGTATAACTTATATAGGTAGCTATGATTGACTGGCAATAAATTAAATGAACAATGATAATCGGCTTTATATAAAATACAATAAATGTAGGTATAGGTATTGTGTTATACTTACGGTGCAAAAGACGAACACTCCGGTGGACTTGCCCATCTTGTACGAGTTCGCGCAATCGAGTGTGTCGGCGAATAAAAACCACAAGCACCCGATCGTCGCGCTTATATAGCTAGTCAGCGAGCTGCACGTGCCAAGTAGGCATACCTACCGTAATTATTATGCCCAAGTATAAAACACTTCTACCTAGGTATATCCCACCGGCGCGAGTACCTACCTCATCTCTACATGTTTGATATGCCTATACATATATGTCGTTCGCACTAACATATTATAGGCCTATACACGCACATTTCTTGATATAATAGCAGGCGCGTGCACCTATATGATGGCATCGTGGGTAATATAATATAATATATAGGAGACGCATTAACCTTGACCCTGGGGCCGCGAAGACGGTTTTTTCGGGCAGTTCAACAAACCCGGCATAAAACCAGATTCCTATCGACTACTCTTCGTCGTTACGAAATCGCCGTCTTGTTATATATTATAGGTATTATACATGTGCACATAATATATTACGATATGCATCATATATAATATATACCTATAACTGCAGCATCATTATAATGCCTATGTCGTGGAGACGGATGCGCCCGCCGCCCGTGCGTTTTCCCATTTCCTGCGATTAGGCCCGAATGCGTTTTTCGTGCATTTCACACGAAAGACGGACAACAGGTTTCTGTAAATCGACCCGTCCGACTACGCACCACAGGTATAGCCGCATAGGTCGTATTATATTATTATTATTGTTATTTGTTGGGCACCTTGATAAACGACTATGCATAATATAATCCATAATATTTATATTATAGGATGCACAATATAATATTATAACATAAAGATGGGCATAATATTTCTAGCATTTAAGCCGACCTCGCCGATGCGATGCTCACCCCCCCCCCCCCGATCACGGTTTCTAATCGCTTGCGCATATTAATATATTATCATATTATTATATTTTTACTGTACGTCAATACATAATTATCGATTCTGCCGGTAAGTAGAAAATTAGTTTTGCTATGTCTATATACATATATAATATATGTTATTATATAGGTAGGTATCTATATACCTATCGATAGATTTATATGATTATATATATGCATCGACGGTCGGTCGAATTTCAATGATGTGTACCTAGCTGGTAGTTTTTTAGTTTCTACTGACTACTACATTGATTAGGGATWACTAGAATAAAGAATTCAAATGTTCCAGTTAAAGCTAGGCAATCAAAATTTAACTTAAATCTTAATTAAAAACTTTATGCGTAGGTATATAACGAGATTTTCACATCAAAATGTACCTGTGTAACTATAGGTAGATATCTACTATTATACATAGTTGCAGATAGGCGCAATAGGTACCTACAACCTACCTTGTTTTATATTTATTACAAATAATTGTATCTAAATTATTGAAATGCCTAAATAAATGGTATATGAAGGGTTAGGGAGCTACACACAAGTGATTGGTGCCAGGACTTTAGTATGTGTATTAGTAATTAAATATTTATAGGTACTCGTGGTACCAATATTCAGCTTTCAGAAGATTAGTTTCAACATTTTACTTATTTTACTGGACTATAAGTATTAATATATATATATATAGTATATTTAAGAGGATCAGGAATGGTTCAAGTGAGAGGAGGCTTAGGAGTGATACTGGAGTCAACTTTTCTTTGCCCGTGTTGGCTATTATTTTTGTTCAGTAAGAAATTATATTGTGTATCTTTGTATATCTGACAAATCTATATTATATAATCTATATATCTATATTCTATAATACCTAATGTAAGTATCAGCTGTTATAACCTATGATTATGTCCATGTCACAGTATATATTCATATTTTCATATAGGTAAAAATCAGGGTTAGGTATGCGAAATTCGTACAAATAATTTATGAGTTGTCAAACTTTATGTATTATTAATAATATAATATATGTACTAAGTACTTACAATAATTAACAAGTAGGTACTAGACTAAACAGAAAATGTATTTCATATTTTTCTTCTTAGACTATACCTCAATACACGAAATTTGTTATCTCAAAAACTACATTCAGTTTGGATTGAATCTAGGAAAAAAGACACAAAAAAAAAAACGACACGGTTTTTCCGTTGTTACCGTTTCAATGTTTCCGTTTTTACGTCAAGTAAAAAACGTCACGGTAAAAATCGACACGAGTAAAAAAACGCCAAAAATGTTTTTTTTAATCYAAAAATCAGTTATATAAAAAAAAATATATCAATATCGTATAGTATATATTATGCTATACCATTTAGTAAAAAATGTTTGTTGTCTAAAAATCACAATTAATGTTTTTAAAATAAATAATAAAATAATTACACAATATTATTGAAAATAATTTGCAGGTGAAAAWTGTCAAATAAAAATTATAAATAAGTTTTGAAAAAAAAACAAGTACCTATAGAATAGCAGTAAACTACAAATTAACAATATCGAATAGTATATATGCTATAGCCTTTAAAAAATTTGGGATATCTCTTTCCCCATTTGAATATTCTTTACATATATTTTTTAATTTATTTTGTAAATCTGCATAAATCTTCCGTTTCTTTTTTTTTGATAATGTCCCCAACGCACTCTGAGCCAATTTTGTTTCGTCATTTGCCACCTCCAGACGAATTTTCATTATTAATACCCATATACTGGGATGGCAATGTCCCACTAACTTTGAAAATCTATTATTCCATCCCTCAGTTTCATTATTAGTCAGATTAYCGTCGTTTAATGTTATATTATGTACATTCCATACGTGAGGTGGAAATAAGGGTGGAAAATTCCGCAAGCGTATGCAATTATTTTKTGACGAATTAATACTTCTGAATGTTCCAGTCACATAAGTATTGTCGAAATATTCTAATATAGCTGAACCATTTTCTGGCATAATACTTTTTAAGTATACCATTCCTTCAGCTACATCACATAATGGTAAAAATGCTAATGCATCCAATTGTCGGCAAAATATAGAAAATTCTTCGTCTGATTTATAATCATTTATTAATCCCATTTTTGGAAGTTGACGATGTGTTGCTYGAGTAAGGTGATAAAAACAACCATTCACTTCTACTTGTTCGCCTATAACTTTTTTTATWGCATTGATAACTGCTTTTTCAAAATCTACATGTACGTATATCGGTATATCGGGTCAAGAAAAATATTCTTTTCTGCACATTTCTCCAGTAAACAGTTTAACATTCGCTCATAAGTAGACTGGGTTTTTTTAGTGATCAAACAATAAACGGCAGTAACAAAAATACCATTAATTTGTATTCTTATTACATAAAGCTGCATAAAACCTTTAGGCAACAAAGCAAAATTACCGTCCATCGTGTACCATTCAGTAGACTTGGATAAATTTTGAAGTCCTTCGTCGGTTGCAAAAATAACTATCCTATCTTCGTCATCGTCGTAACCATCGTCAACCAAAAGTAATCATTTATTATCCGGATTTCCTGCAGTTGTACACGGTACACCACTCTCCCACTATATTAGTTCCACTAGCTGGATGATTCGTTTTTCTTTGATTACGTATTGTTCGTTTCATTATAGGTTCAGRTGGAACTCAAGCTTGTGATTCTGGATCTAAAGTTTTGACATTTTCGGCATATATTTCCGTTGGATTTATCTTAGTTTGTTTTGCAGTTTCTTTCATATTATATGTACATTTTATGGCATTCACCTACCAAAAAAATCCAACTGAAATTGTATAACCAAATATTTATATTATCTTTTTTGAACGGTATCTCGTCAAAAATGAGACAGGCTCGCTTGACAGCAATAATTATTCGAATACGACAATTGCTCACGCTTAAATTGTTCGTAAAAAAAAAGTAAGACTTGATTAGCATGTAATATATTTTGTAATCTATAACATAGGTATTACATGAGGTATCTTTAACACACACAACACAACAGTGTGAAATGTGGCTTTTTACAATACTTTAAATCATATCGATACCTTATCGTTATCGAAATCGAACATTATATTATGGATTATCTAATGTGCACAAAAGTCACATTGCTAATTTTCGACTGAATATTTAGGTATAGGGATATAATATACATAAAAAAATATATATTAATGTTATTTGTAAACCTACTTTGAGTTAATTTATTGAACATGTGAACAATATATGCACAAACAATTGTCGTAGGTATTCGAATAATTTCTGCRCKAATATTACACACCTACTAATTACTGTATACAGCAAAGCTATACTGTATTTAAGTAGGTAGAATTATAAATTTATAAACAAAGACCAGATTTATATGCATTTAAAATTTCAAAATATGCATGTAAACATGCACACAATAACCTATGGAAGTTAAGTAACCTCTTTTTAGCATCCGAATATTCTTTGAGACGTAAAATATAATAAAGTAAAATAAAACCTATAATCTGTTTTATTTTCTCATTATAAAAATGTTATTTACCTCGTGTTTATCAGCTTGTATGGACTATGGACTATAGACTATGGACTTTTCCAATTTGAGGATGTCCAATCTCTAAGTCCGTGTAMATTGTTCCGCTACATTTTAATGAACGTTATTTTGAACATCTCCACGTTATTCGTTTACGTCCTTGATGTTTYATTATAWACGTATATCCAMTCCAACAAATTTTATTCCCACCTTTATTTGACTTTATTACTTCCATATTTTACAAAAAATCACGGTAATAAATATAACGTATCCAGTATCCACGTCGAAATTTAACTGACATTTAGGATTGACACAACATGTATGAAAGTTTCAGTTTTTATACATACTCCTATCATTGACTTATCATTATTTTTAATAATAATTTATATATTATAGGTACCTAATATGACGCTGTACGTCTGTACTTTTTGTATTTATAGTGTAACGATTATAACAGGCGATAATCATCTTTGATAATTGATATCGTTTTGGATTTTACTTATAATACCTACATATTATTTATTATTAGATATAAACTCGCGGTAAATGGTGTCGTGCAATCAAGCCTGGTTCACAGCTAGTTTGTATTRTCKWGWGTGCATTTTATCTTACGGTATCTGATTGGCCTTCTTGAATTGTATAACCATGGTATCACTCATTAGCAAGAAMATTTTTTCTGAGTTGGACTGAGCTCAACTTTGAACAAAACATGACAGACGACGTAGCCCGTGCAATGAACGGGTCAGCTTTACAACAATAATTGTTAATAACAGTTTTATGGTTAGGTCCTAGTCCAAGTATTTACCTGTAAAAACTGAGGAATCTGAAAATAATTAATATAATATATATGTATGTCCGATGAGGCGATAACAACTATTGTAGGTAGGCATTTGATGGTGTCATAAATCGTAATACGTCTCACATTTGGACGCAGCAGCTCTTGAAAAACGGGTGAGGGTGACACGCGTTTTTTCGGACTTGAAGTAATAATGGAAGTYAAATGGGCCCTTAAATATTATACTTAAACATATACGTATTTAGTGATGCACGAAAGGATTTTACTGCAGGTGTGTATCGGTCGACACCCCTTTAAAAATGGGTGGTGGGTGGCGATTGACTGATAATAAATTGACTGATGGATTATTTTATTATGAGGCGAACAGTAGTAAGTACTGCATAATTATAATTAAAATAATAGCTACCTATTGGCCATTAGTTATTATACTAATTTACCTCACAAATTGATTAAAACAAATTTTATTTTATATTTTGATGATGGTGGTTATCTCATGACACGTGAACAATTTTGACACCCATTACAGCAAATAATATGCGCCACTGTACGTTTATATAGGTATACAGTGGCATACCCATAATATGGGCCAATTTAGTATACTGCGTGGGTCTGCACTTTGCCTCATTTATAAGAAGCCACTGTGTAGAAACTTCAACMAACTGTATATATAAGGTACTAAGTAATCATTAATTTTTACTATTAATTAATTATCTCCAGTGGTCGAATTGGGAGGGATACGGTGGGATAGCATAACTCCACTTTTTATAATTCACATTTTCTACCCCTCCAATTATTTTGTCCGAAATAATGTATTCCAACTATAATTATTCTTACTATAATTATATACAAATATTATCGATTTATATTGGAGTTTTTCATAAACATTTTTTTTTTTTCATTTTAGCTTACAATAATACGGTTTTTATATGAATTAAGTATTTTACTCTCTTACAATTATTTATAATTATATTGTTTAATATTTATTTTGTTAAGAAATATCAATATAAGCATGTTTTATGTATTTTGTTTCTGAGTTATGAGAATTAGATATGTTTTATTAAATTGTTTTGATTTACTAGGTACTATGTTTTGCAACACAATGTCATTAATCATTAATTTGAAAGTTATTAATATATTATTATAGGCTATAACTAGTAACTATAATACTCAATAATAATGTATAAAAAAATTTAGTTACTTTTTTGTTTTTACACCTAAGTACTGTATAATACATAATGCATACTATTAGAACTTATATTAATAAACTGCACGTAGAATGTAGATAAATTATATTATATAGGTACATGATGTAAATGTGTTTTACGTTTTAAATAAAAATATACCTAGTTATACAGGATCCGTCAGAACAAACGAATGTTTTTCAAAATTATGCCATGCTCAATGTAATTTCAGTACCTAAAAAATGTTTTATTATATAAAAAATTGCATTTGCATATGCAGTTTATTCATATGTAACAAAATTTAGGTTTTGAAAATAATGTCAGGCATATGACGCCCTTGAAGTAGGGGTGTTGGCACTAGCAAAACAATCCTATCGTGTCAATCAGCATCTGTCTCGAAAATTTTCTCACCACTTGAGTGATCTCGTCTTTCAATTCATCAAGGGTTCGTGATTTGTATTGGTAGACTTTTGATTTTATGTGACCCAGTGACCCCACCAAAAAAAATTGCATATTCTCAAGTCAAGGGAGCAAGGAGGCCACGGAATGTCCCCAAAACGCGATATGAGCCATATGTATGACATTATTTTCAAAACCTAAATTTTGTTMCATATATAAAAAAACTGCATATACGTCTGCATTTTTTGGTATAATAAAACATTTTTTACTGAAATTACTTTGAGCGTAGCATTATTTTGAAAAACATGCGYTTGTTCTGAYGGACYCTGTATATATATAAAAATKTAAATATATCAACAATTAAGYCACCAAAATGAAAAACCAAAAATTAATATTGATTGTGATTGTATCATAAATAAGGTATAGGAGTATACAACTCATCTCCACCTTTAATTACCTGCTGTGTGTAAACCAACTAAACCATGATAATAAATTAAGAAAATTATGAAAATGTAGGCATCCCTCCATTTATTTTAAGCCACTTCGACCACTGTTTATATCACATTTTGATATTAACATTCAATACAACTATTTAAAAGACATAAGTTATAACTAATTGTTAAGTACATTTTCAATTTTAAAAACTTAAGGTATTAABTAATCACCTTGCCTCTACATTAAAAACTGAAATGACACAACTGCTGTATAAACATCATAATATTCTTATAAGTTACTAACTTTATTTTTATAGAAACATTCTCAATTAGCCGAGTCTGTGTACTTTTATAAATTATTATTGCTTATTTAATATTACTTTATTATTAATTATTGTTCAAATTTTTTTCGAATAAAAAAATGTTATGAAGTTTATCATTATGAGGGACCACAATTTACTGAAGAAAAAACTGCGAGTCAGCTAACCTCTCAAACCGGCGCTTGGAACTGCCCTTGTGTACGTATACAAGCATACAAGTGGTACCTACTTATAAATCATACACCTGCTTAGGTATATAAGTGGTCGTCGGAATTCTACTTTATATACGTCGTGACGTTTGATCAAACCCACTTCGCTTCGTTATATTCCAATATGGAAGTGTTCTATATATTACGGTGTCTGCAATAAGACTTATCTTGAAAAAATTAGGTACGCCTAGCTATTTGTATGATTTAAAAATGAAGTTTAAATCGGAATGGAAACTCTTCGGTTTTTATCAACCTCCAAAATCAATTGAATAATGAATATTTGAATGAGTAATCAACTGTATATACRTAAATAAATATACGTCTAGAAGCCAGTAGGTTGTAACTCATGTATTCGTTTTCAAAACCTCTAATATAAACACCGCGTGTTGTCAGTACTCAGTCTCAGTGCCTCAAAATAATGACAGGCCCGTCAGCCGACTACWATACGATTTCAATTATATTTACATGATCTGGTACCTACTACAGATTCTGATTAAATGGCTACAGGTTTTCACTATTCAGTATAGGTACTTATAAGTTCGATAAAAGTAATTTGCTAACTAGGC